GTATTTTCCATATAAAATTATCAATACATTTATAATTGCATGCTGTACATTTTAAAAGCCGTTTAATGCTAGATCCTTTATGTTCATAAGCCCGACAAAATCACTTGCTAGGCCTATTTCTTTAGTTGCATAACTGGAGTATAATTGTGGAGAGAAACGTTTCCACAAATTGATTCCCATGGTACTCTTAAGGCGAAGCTGGCACAAGGTTTGTGATTTCTTGTTTATTTTATTTCCATTTTTTATACATTACTGCAAAGACAGAAGTAGGTCAGATGCTGAAATAGACGACTAGCTATTTCTAGGTACAAACACGTGCGCTGGAGCGCAGTTCACCACTTCACGTGTGTTCACCTACTTCATGGAACCAGTAATTTGAATCGTCTAGCTGGCTGCTGATCATGTTTATATAATACAAAAAATAAAAGGATATTAAAATATATATTTGTTATATGATTTCATGTGTAATGTAAATAAATGTGTATAAATTATATATAATATGTATATATATATTGTATATGTATGTGCCCTATATATATATATATATTTATATAAATATATATATATATATATATATATATATATATAGTTGTTTTTAGGTATATCCAATATGCTAATAAAATCATATATAAATATATATTCATATTTATGAACTGCACAGGTGTATCAAAGAAAATTAAAGATTGCAAACGAAGAATGATAATGTGTGTATTACTCGTTTATTTCTTTAATTGTGTTTCCTTCAATTCTATTGGTATGTTTTATCCAAACTCTGGAAGCTGCAAGGAAAATAAATAAATTTACTGTATAAAAAGATCGGATTAAATATTGTAATGATTATTGTTTTAACTAAATTATGAAACAACATTCAACTCGATTAAAATCAAAGATACATTTTATTGACCATAATTAATAATATATGAAAACGTAACAAAAAGAATAGCATGAAGCACATACTAAATCCCATTGTTTTAATCATAAGATCATGTTTAAATCATGAATATATCACCGTAAATGGAAGAAAGAGAATATATTAGTAGAAAGATAAAATGTTGTTAGTGGAAAAATAGCAAACGAAAAATACTTAGGCCTATGATAAACCGATTGACGAACTAATTATAATAATATATAGGTCCTAGGCATATTAAATTTTGCGTTTTTGCAACTCCTTCGGCGCTCCATATATTTGTTCGAAATAAACCGCGACCGAAATGAGGCGCGACCGAAATGATCGGCTACCTTGTACACAGTGTTAAAATTTTAAAGCTTATTCTTGAGCCAATACAAATTCTTTTCTAGGATCACTCAAAATGAATACTTCTAAAACATGTAAATATGCATCATTACACGTTATACATAGGCCTAATAGAACACACCCGCCTAAATCCATAAATCTCAGGCCAGGTCTTTTAAGATAGAAATGCGATACTGTGGTTTAATTTCGTTTTTATCCTTTTGCAAGTTTCTTTAAATTTTTGTTTAATAAAACTACTACTAATAGTAATAATAATAATAAAAATGATGATGATGATGATGACGATAGTAATAATTGATAATAATATTAATAGCAATAAAAAGTGAAGAAAATTGTGCTAAATGCGAAAAAAAGTTTGTTGATCATAATTATTATAGTATATATAGTTAAAGCTTAGTAAGCTATAGTTAGGCTTAAGTTGTCCTGGATATTAAATAGATCCTTGATAAAAGATCATGAGAATTTTTTTGGCGTTTCAATTTGACTATAATGGTGACTCGTTCGTTATATAATTATTTTTGCGCTTATTTATAATGCGTCTATTGCAATTTTCACTTTATCCTCTCAAACAGTCCTAAGAATGTTTAGAGTGCGCTACTTCACAGGGGGATTCGCCCCTCCCCCCTTGACCCCACCGGGGTCCTACGTAATTCGCATAAAGGCTCCCCCCACCCCACCCTTTCAAAATCCTGGCTACGTCCCTGTGTCATGCACTGTATCATGCGCTATAGAAATGGAAGACCATAGTGTAATGGGAATGAACCTCTCTGGTAGGGCCTACAGTACAATCAGTGTAAAAGTGTAAGATATAGGCTAGTGTGGATTTAAATAAAGTCCTAATGGTAATGTTCAAAATAAAAGTCAATGAATGTAAGTATGATTGTTGAAAAAAATTGTCAAAATTTTATTTTTATTTCTCACCCTAACCTTCGCCTGGGCGAACTGGGCAAAGGTCTAGATCCGCGCCTGTTTTACACTGCGTAGCTGTTCCTGACGCAATCGGGAACGCTCTCCGATTCAACAGACCAATCAGCGTCGCCAAAGGAGTCGGCGATAGTTTTGTAGCGATTAATTACTCTGTAAATCACAATATAAAGAGGGTGGCTTACATTTCATAT